CAAAAGTCAAAGGAAATCACAGTCATTAAATACACACTTCAGGCCCTTTTCTCAGGAGAGAAGTGAGAATCTCAAAGTAGCTACTCAGACATAAAATCTGTCTTTTTTTAATGGCATTCATTCATAGCACATTAAACACTGAAAGCAGCTGAAAGCTGAGACAAACCAAACATGTATGCAAACAGAATGAAAACTAACAGCTAAAAAATTGGAATCTGTTTGGAGTACATATTCTAGTACTGTGGCAACAGTCTATATATACAGTAAGGATAGTCAAAAATGATTTCTTGCAGTTTAATGTTGTGGAGACAGGATATTTTTCTGTATAGGAACGTCTTACTCTGGATGGGAATTGTCAGAAATAGGATGGGAGTGATACCAGTGATGCTCCTTGTGTTCCTGTTCTATATCATAGGCAAGACAGATGCCATTAATTGTTCGATACCTGATGACCCACTTCCTATACCCCATCAATTTGCTCAGCCAGGAGATGTTATCATTGGGGCAATTGCCACTCAAGCCTTCTTGTTTCACAACAGCCCTTCCTTCACAGAAGAGCCTTCTCGGATGGTGATCAATGAAGTAGTGTAAGAAATTCTATTTTTTTCTCTCTTTAGACCCCTGAATGCAAAACAATTGGGGGAAAATAGTTAAGCAATAGGATAAGTCTAAAAATTTTCATAACCCCAGTGTCATTGGGAATTTTCTGTTAATTAGTTTGCTCTCCCTTTTAAGTAGGGCTACTGAGTAGAAAACTCCATGTGGCTTCCCACACTGCACTAAATCCATATATGATTCCTCTGATTTTCACTTCAATGTTTTCTGAAAGCAGTCTTTGTGATTCATACACCATTTGTAATAGTTTAGGACCATTTGTCAATCTACCAATTATAGGACTCTGAGAAGATCATAGCTAAAGCATACAACATCTTAACACAATGTGGGAAGTAAATTACTATCATATTATATTAGGCAAGGAAAGATGATTCTAAAATAAGGCTACATATTAGATAAGAAGAGTAACCTTTGGAAACAGAATCAAAGCACACTGCCTGCTTCTTTGAGGGTAATGTAATATTGTTTAAATTAATTAATTGATATGTCAGTCTTGGACT